TCGTGAATGGTGTGTAATTGCAGTTTGGTTTTGTAGATCAGATAAAAAGGTTGGATGTAGTGATAGAAATTTATCTCGGTAAGTTTGGTTTGGGTCGGATTTGTAGTCTGTTTCACTTCTTGCAGGATGGTTTAAAAGTAATTGTTGGTAAAAATATAGTTCACCATCATCGATTCTGAGTTGGTGATATCTGATTATAATTCTTTCATATGTTCTACAACATAGTTAAATAGTTCATCATGATGAATGATACGATGTGTTGTTGTGGGGTGAGAAGGGGTAATAAAATATTTTTCGAAATATTGTAGGTAAGTAAGGTTTTCAAACTCAGGGATGCAGGGACGGTGCATGTATTTTATAATAGTGTCATCATAGTACGGATTTTCGTCATTTTCATCTATCATATGAATTGGAAGTATCGAGCGGGTTCTAATGGGTGGAGGATCAGTAGTGAGATACTTTACTGTAGATGAGGAATTACATATTTGATGTCCTAAGAGTAGGAACATGAGTTCCATTGAACCAAGTCTATGTGCAATGACGTGCTCTCTTAACGAATTGTTCTCATAAACGTTATAAAGGTGAGAGGGTTCAGCTTTTGCAATATATTTTGCCATATATCGCGCAAATCCTTTGTTTGTTATGTATTGTGCGTTCATGTGTGCATTCCAAAGTAGGAGAGTTGGAGCATGATAAGGGACGACCCAAGTATCAGCTTCGGTTAGACATTTGTAGATGTAATGACAGTTACCTTCTTCATAGTGGGTTGATTCACTATAAGGACGGGGGAATCCTTTTTTACACGTTTGTGTTATAAGGTTTGGTCTTCGGCATTTTTCGTTGCAGGTGTGTATTTGATTGGCTACGACTGCAGCATAGAGTTCGGGTTCATATAGTGGATCTGGCATAGTTGATTGTATTACATCATTTTGGATCATATCTTGAATGGTATTAGCTGTCCAATAGCAACTATGGGTATGAGCCGCGCCTCGGTTTTGAAATTCAACTCTGTCAAAGAAATTGGTAATTTCACCAAAGCCTGTAAGGTTTGGTTTTTTATAAAGTTCTTTTTTTAATGACTGAAACCTGTGAACAAAATAATTTGCACAGTGATATGGTCTATTGGTTGGTAATGTGTCACGATTATCACTGTTAGCAAGTATAGTATGGAGGTGCGACCAATGGCTTTCAGCCATACTTAAGGTGATAAATAAGGTTGGTAGATTAAATTTTCGTATCATTGCGTTTAAGTGAAGTTGTTTTTGGTAGAAATAAGTATCTCCTGTGCATATAAATGATAGAATAGGAATGGTTATATTTTCATTAATTATGTTATATGGAGTGTAAGCGCTGGGATTAAGTAGATCTCTGCCTGATGGGAGGCGTTCATTGTTAGTGAGGTTTGGGTTGATACTTCGGAGTATTCGTTGTGTGTTTTGATGGTGTCTTAGTTTTTCCAATAGAAGGTAAGACCAAGAGGGCCAGTGGTTATGAAGTCTTTATCTTGAATCAATATTCGTTAAGCGTAATTTAATATATTTGCCATAAGTTTCATCACGAGTTTCGTTTTCTAATATAGATTGGTTTGAGATATCATGAAAATGACCTTTTCCATCAGTAAATAGGTCGGGAAAGAGTAAGGGTTCTAGGTTTGGGTCATGGGTAGCAATTGGTAATCGTAAGGTGTCACTTTCTTGGACAAAGCCTGCCATTAATCTGGTATAGTGAAAATCTTCGTTATGGATTTCGTCTGGAAAATCATAGTTAGGTACTATTATTTTATGAGAGTTGACGGGAGGTATTTCGTTATTAGTTTGGCTGTGTTGTGCTATTGGAAAGGGACCATTTCGATTTTGTTGTAATAAGAGATTAGAGAATGGGTGAAGATACAGATTATTTTCAGATAACCAGTTAGCAGCACGTTGCAAGGCTTGATTATAGTTCGAGTTATTAACTGAATTATTATTGTTTTCTGGCTCTAAGAAAGCACCTAAAGTTTCAGAATATAATGCAAGAGCTCTGGAGTTGCGCGAATAGCCCATGGTTCCGGTTAAAGATCTATATTCAGAATAGGGATTGCTATTTGGCATTCTACCTAAAGAGCAATGAAGGTATACTGGTGACAAGCATTTTCTTATATATAAGGGAACAGAAGTAATTTCTACTGGCATTGGAGAAAGATAAGGGAATGAAAACCTTGTTTCGGGTTTTTTACAAGAATTACAGGTAGGTACTCTAAGATCTGTAATTAGATTAACATTGGGGTTAAAGAATAAGGAAACACCGGGTTTGCGTTGCTGTAGAGGGTAAGTAATTGATGGATTGTAAATTATTCATGATGCTTTTTCAGGATATAGAAGGGTTTCGCAATATATACAAGCAATTCGGGGCCATTGTTTTAAAATATTATTTTGGAACCTATCATATAAATTTTGGAGTTCATTTGAGGGTCTCCAATATGTACGAGTTTGAGGGTCGTTATTAAGTGGGTTGGATGAAGATAAAATGGTAGGATTATCAGAATTGTTAGACTCAGAATGTGATATGGGTTGAGAAGATAGGTCTACTAATGATTCGTATTCGTCATCGAATACGGATACATTACGGAGTTGGTGCGTCATTGTTAAATAATTCGATGATCTTATTTATTGAAAAGAAATATTTGAACTTTTGTTATGGAACAAAAATAAATTGAGGTAAAAGTTTAGATTGAGTACGATTTTGGTGATCTGGTTTTATTTAATTCAGAAATTGAATTGATAAATTTCGAAGGTAAAAAGTACGTATTAAATACGTTTTTTAAAAATTTGTTATAGATAATAATTTATAATTTTTTTCATTAATGCAAATACGTTTCTTATTTTAAAGCGGATGGCTTTTTTGCATGTTTGGTTTATTTAGGTTTTCGAAGAGAATTTCATAAAAGATAGTTGCTATTTTGGGAACTATCAATATTGCGGTTATTTGCATTTGGTTTTTTTAGAAATTGGCGTTGCAAATTTGATTTTCTATACTTAAATTTTTTTTTTCTATATTTCTATATATGTAATTGTAATGGTTAGGTAATAATTAATAGCTAAATATAGAACCACGATCAAAGTTGGAAGAGTATCTATATATGGAAAAAGAATGATTGACTGCAGCTAGAAAAATTGAAGGACTAAATATGGAAACGAGATTTGAGACAGTAAATCGGTTTTTTATTTTTTATTTTAAATAAAAAAAAATATGGGTGGCAGTGTAAATAAGTAATGTACTGAAATATAAATTTTTATTAGAGCCTGTGAAATCATAGAATGTTGGGTACGTATTCAATTGTAGATTTTTTTATATTATACAGCGAGCTTTATGATAATGATTATAGTAGTTATTTTTTTTGCAACAAAAACTTTGTCAGCTATACTGTATGTATAAAATGTAATAACATTTAGATAGCACGAAACTCTTCGTAATAGTTTAAGCCAATTACATGAAGTATAAGAATGTTTTATTCATGGTAGAACGTAAATGGGGGTAAAAGATATGGATTTGTAAGTAATAGTAGTTTTTTTTTTTTTTTTATATTGATAATATAATAATTTGATGAAAAAAATGAAAAAAAATAAGAAAAAAAAAAGATTAACAAAAAATAGCAAAAAAAAATTTGATTTTTATAAACTTAGTTTTGTGAGCCTTCGCCTCCAGGATTTTGAGAAGTTTGAGAAGTTTGAGGTGTTTGAGGTGTTTGAGGTGTTTGTTGAGTAGACATGTTTGGAATGGGGTTGGTTTCTAAAGCTGTGGAAAGTGTTTGAGGGACAAACATTGGATCCATATTAGACAAGGTATTGCGTCCTTTTTTTGGAGTCTTCGAAGCGGCACCCCATGGCTGACAATTCGCTCTTGCATAGCCTGAGATACTTGATTGGGATAGCCATGACGAAGTAATTGATTGGGCAGATGAATTATTGCGATTTGAGGTGATTAAAGAAATGTCTTCCAAGATGATTACATGCTTTCCTGTAGATATTTCGTAGGTAATGGTACCAATAAGGATTGTGGTGGTTGAACGGGAATTTTGGTTTATTGTGTTTGTTTTATTGGAGAGATATTTATTGTTAATATTATGCCTAGCTTCAACCCAGAAGCTAGGTGGTTCGTGGTCTCCAACTTTTTCCTCAACGTAGAACTCAAGAATTAAGTCATTTTCGATGTTTTTGACCGTCTGGTTGGTGATACCAACGATGACCGAGTTTATGCCTAATACAGGCATATTATCAAATTCAAAGTTTATGACTTTGATAGAAGTTGCAGTGACCTTAGTATAAGATTTAAAAAGTAGGGTTGATTTACTGGAGGAAAAAAAAAAAAAAAAAAAAAATATATATATATATATTATACTATGTAAAAATTTTCACTTTCTACGAATTTTCCTTTTAAAAATATAACATCACCAGGTCCAAAGGATTCAATGTAATGGTTGCTGGTTTCGTTCAAGGGGACGAAGGCTTTTACTTTTAAGTACATGATTTTTGTGGGGTCATCGTTACTTAGTCTTACGATACAAGTAATTTCTTTTACTGTGAATTCTTGGGTCAATCGATCAGTGCATGTATGTACATAACAGATTGTTGATAACTTTGCAGGCATTGTTTTATTTTACTTTTTTTTAGATAAATTGGAGGCGAGGAGAAAGAAAAAACGATTATTTTATAAGATTTAAGATTGCTTTTTTTTTTTTTTTTCATCTAATTTTTTTTTTTTTGTTTAATCTTTTAATCTTTTTTTTTTTATGTGCTATTAATTAATATATATATATTTTTTTTCAAAGAATAAATCATCGATATCAGTAATTCGTTTCTTTGGAAAGTTATTTATAGATAAAATTTGATGATATTAGTAATTGCTCTTCTTTTAGGAAGCTAGCACTCATGATAAAGCGTCGATATCAGTAATTCTGTTTCTTTTGGAAAAAAAAAATTAAAATTAATTCATTTTTTGGAGGAGATTACAAGGGTAAACTTGTTTTAAGATAAGTATATTTTGATCTTTTTTTAATTCATTCTTGGGTACTGGTAATTTACAAGTTTTTAGTATCTTATCATTATGAATCAGGATTAAACGAAATAATAATTTTTTTAAGTAGACATGTTGCATTTGGATAATATCTGAAACAGTATAAAATTATGATAACAATATGATATAGATAGATGAAATTTTTTACTATTATTTGTCTAATAATGGCTCAACTTCGAGTCTTTTTTTATTTTTATTTTATATGAAATTTATT